GGCGTTTGTTACGGTTTTAACATTCAATCCAGTGGAAAGTCCTTGCATTGATCAGCCGGTTCTCTCGGTTATGATCTTGATTTTAGCGTAGAAATCTCAGGATTTTGCTTTCCTGCGAGAAAGATGTTTGAGAAGGTTCTTATGTTTCTGGGATTTTTGTTTGTTGCTGGTGTGTCTTGGGAATGGAATTTTTGGGAGAATTTGATGATAGTTAGCGAGTGTTAGGAACATTTAATTTTATAATGTTATATTGTTAGAGAGAAGATATTTGAGGAGATTGTTGTGCTTCTGGGATTTCTGTTTGTTATTTGTGTGTTTTGGAAATGAAATTTTTACAAGTACTCGATAATCTATTTAACAAATATTAGGAACATTTAGTTTTATAATGTTATATTGTTAGAGAGAAGATATTTGAGGAGATTGTTGTGTTTCTGGGATTTCTGTTTGTTATTTGTGTGTTTTGGAAATGAAATTTTTACAAGTAGCCGATAATCTATTTAACAGATATTAGGAACATTCAGTGTTCTAATGTTATATTATTAGAGAGAAGATATTTGAGGAGATACCTATGTTCCTACGATTTCTGTTGATTGATTTTATATTTTGGAAATGAAGTCTTTACAAGTATTCGATAATCTATTTAACAAGTATCACAAACATTCAATCTTCTAATATTATATTACAAAAAAAATATTTAAAAACATTCCTATATTCCCAGGTTCTGTTAATTGCTTCCAATTTCCTCCCTCAGAAATCAAATTCTCCCGAATGCCCAATCTCTCCAACAGATCTCAGGAACATTTAATTTTCCATTTGTCACATCATTACGAGTACATTCGAAGATCTGTCTCTCTCTCTCTCTCTCATATTCCCAGGTTTCCCGTGCATCGCTTCAATTTTTTTTTCGGCGAGGAAATTCAATTCTCACGAGTGGCTGCCAATCCCGACATCCTATTTCCCCCGCAAAACAAACGTCGTTTCACGGGTGTTAACCGTCGAAAACACTTTTCAAAATAACGCCTCCCGATGCGCGGCGCGCCGTTTAATTGCGAGTGGAAGTCGGCATAATTTCGTTGCAGTTTCCGTTTAATGTTATTTCGACAAGGCGGCCGGTCGTGCACCGTTCTACAAATTGCTCTTTCCACTTTTCGCGCGAATATGGAAATGAAATTCGTTTCGTTAACCCTTCAACCGGCGTTCGCAGCCGCGTTTAATTGTTCCGGCCGCGCCGAAGAAAAGTGTGCCCGGTGTGGTCGCACGAAATTCCCGAGGTTCTTTCACTCGGCCGGGGAAAATTGTTTCCGGGGCTTTGGCCGCGGGGAATTATCGAATGTTTTCGTAAGTTCTCAGCGAGCGTCGAAGATCCGACGAGCGAAACGTAAACGGGACGTCTAAGGAGAAATTAGAGGTTAATAATGAAACCGGAGACTATTAACCCTTTGCACTCGAGAGGTGACTCTCAGTCACCACTTGATTTGACACAGTAAAACTATTGTAGTATCTAGAATTTTTAGCGTAGGTTCAAGTATTTTTAAGAAGAGTTAATGTGAGAATGAGTGTGAGTGAAGGACTATAAAACGGTCGAGTGAAAGTGGCCTGCACAACGTCACAGACCCGAGACTGCAGGGCCAGCTTTCCGGGGATGCATCCGAGTGTTTGTGATGAGTGCGACTGAGAAGAATGCTTGTGGGGTAGAGAATGATTTTTGGGAGAGAATGTCTGTAAGAGAGTGGCGAGAGTCGTGTATTGGCCTTCGTGGCATTGAGTTGTACTTTTTACGTGTTGTCCGTATTGTTTCCATATTTCATTAACTCCTTGACCTATGATTTCTTCCTCAACTCTCATCGATACGGCTACTTTGTCATGAATAATTTATTGGAAAAAGAGAAAAATTCTAAGCATATGTTATTACTATATTTCCTTTTGAGTATAATAGTTGATTACAGAGGAATAATATTTATTTTGAATTCGAATTAACTAAGTAATATAGATATTTGTTGAATCATGTTGAAAATCTTCACCGCGGGCCTCACTCGTTGTTGTAGGACAAAGGGTTAAATACATATATTTATTCCTAATTCTCGATTACCGAAGATCCACCTTTTCACTATCTCTAATAATAACCACCCCAAAATACTTGGAGGCTCGTCCGGGATCACTATACTATAGAATGTGATATTTAACCCTTTGCACTCCAGAGGCGCCTCTAATTCACCAAATGATTTGACACAGCGAAACTGTAAACTTTGATATTTAATATTAAACTTTGTATAATAAGAAAATGTCGTCTTTATCTCATTAGAAAATATTGAATATTTCCGGTGAAAAACTTCTGGAGTGCAAATGGTTAATCTTAAACTTTGTATAATGCCTCGATACGTGAAACATTGGAATAAAACAGCTTTGTTCCTCAATGTACTGATGATTTCTCTTCGAATTAGTCTCAAAGAACATCGTCTTCGTCTCGTAAAGAAACGTTAAATATTTCTAGTAAGAAACATCCGAGTGCAAAGGGTTAACACGTTCATTGCCATGAGAATTTTAGGCATTCTATACAATATTTCTTATTCTTTTATAACAATGATAAATCTTGTAGTAACCCATTCACTGTAAGTATAAAATGTGTGATTTCATTTGTACTTTCAATTTATTTTGCATTATATTACGATACATTTCAAATACAACCAAGATCGTACCAAACTGGCAATCTCTTGCTGCGAGTATATTCGTGACTAGCAGTGAATAGGTTAATCCTTTGTACTCGATAATATCTTTCATTCTAAATGTCTACCATTTTCTGTTGAAATATTGATAATGTTAGCAAGTAAGATAAAGGAAAATCTTACATAAATTAAGAGTTGGAACTAATTTATTTCTAAGGTTCACGTGTTGATACCTAATAGAAAATTGAATATTGAATTTTAATTCAATTAATCAAAGGGTTAACCCTTAGCACTTCAAGTTTTTTGTAATTTATCAGCAACTGCAACTAATTTTTATAGTATTCCTAACGGAAATTACAAATGCTATAACATTCCTTCAATCTTTTATCTTCCTTCTTAGCACAAAATTTGAATGATTTTAGGGTAGTTTCTTTAAGACTCATTAAAATATCTAATATTATAACTGGTGCAATATTGGAGCCCACAGAGTTCGAACGGTTAAATTTGGATGTGCAGAAAATCGAATGATTTTAGGGCAGTTTCTTTAAGATTCATTGAAGTATCTAATATTATAACTGATGCAATACTGGAGCCTACAGAGTTCAAAGGGTTAAATCCCGGCGCGCGACGTAATTAAGGGGACTCGTGAATCTTTCAGATTCCCTGAACAAGATCGCCGTGGGAAATTGATTTTTCCTTGCACACGTTTTGCTGCGTGAAGCTTCCTGGACTCTTAGTTCGGCTGGACGTTAATAAATCAAGGATTAGTAATTGAAAGATTGAAATTCGTGTCTGAAATTCGAATGAACAGAGTTTGACGAAAGTAAATTCGCGAAACGATTACGTGAACGTTTGAAATGGATCTCGTTGAGGGTATTTATGTGAAATGTTTGTTGGTTCGAGTGGAAATTATTGTGGTTTGAGGAGTTATTAGGATTAAAGATGGTGGTGATGAGAATAATGGAAACGTAGGAATGTAGAAAGGCAGACAGAAAAAATAAAAGAATCATAGAACTTACCTATGAAAATAGCAACAGCCTAGACTGTATTACCTAAAACAGAGAGGAAAAGGATAGGAAATGTTTGTCGTTCCCAATGAAAATTATTGTGCTTTAGAGAATTATTAGGATTAACACTATTACGGAACGCGTCAATTTGACGCAGATTGAATTTTATAAACATTATTTGGTAAATGTTTCAATCGGTTTTCGTTGATCCAATTACACGAATATGAATCCTGATTGTCTATTTCTACATCTACAATTTCCAAAATCTAAATGAACGAATA